GCCCCGGGGGAGCCGCACCTCGCCTTGGCTTCGGCTCCCAACACCCTCGGGGGGCCCTGGCTCCCGGTTGGGGCCTGTAGCTGTTCCTGACGTGCTGAGAGCACGGGGACACGCTCCCACCTCTCCTCACGTGGCTCCAGGTTGGGCAAGTGGGGACAGGCTCGGCTCGCAGGAGTCTCCGTGCATCCCAGCCCAGTGGGCTCCTCAGAGCTGGGATGCATGGAGAAACCTCTTTTCCTGGAGAAACCAGACTCTGGCCACCGCTGCAGGCGTTGCTGGGAGCTCTCGGTGTGGGCTTTGCCTCCGACAGCCCTGAATGGGCTCTGGGGTGGGTGCCCCCCTAATGAGAGTCTGTTTGGAAGGGAGCCGTCCCCTGGATTTGCTGGGAAAAAGGCAGCTCCAGGTTTGGACACCTGCACTCAGGTCATCCCCGCTATGAACAATTTTCATCGTGCTGCTGGGGGGGCTGCGAGCACCCCTCGGGCCTGGGGCATCACAGGGATCGTGGGCAGAGTGGGAGGTGGAAGGAGTAGGACTTCTCCAGCCCTCCTCCTGCTCCTGGGGCATGGTCCCACGAGAGTCAAGGCTGCTGGGCAGAGAGGCCAAACAGGCTCATGGCACCTCCCTCCATCCAGCCCCATCAGGCTGATTCACAAATCCTCTTGGAAGAGCGATGCTGCCCCAGCCAGGCTGCTGCACCGGCCATCTCAGCACTGCACCGAGAGTCTGCGGTGCAAGAGCCGCCGCAGTCCATGGTGCCAGCAGGACAACCAAAGGGATCCGTTTCGTTCCCCCTAAAAAGGAAACCAACTCCACGTGGCCAAGGGTGGGTTTGGATGCCTGAGCGGTGGGCAAAGGAAGAGGTGGTGTGCATGATGGGAGGGCTGTCTCCAGGGGAGCCACAAGTGGGGGATGAAGGAAGACCATCAGCACAGGACAGGGGCATATTGGTACCTCCCCAAATAGCCCGCAGCCTCCCACCTTCTGGGACCATGGGCTTTCTGAGTCACAGATAACTCGTTTATGGCAGGTAAGCTGGCCCCGTTGGGTTGGGTTGGGTTGGGTAGGGTTGAGTGACGTCTGGAGACCCCTTCCAGCCAACAGACATAGGTGGGCATCAAAAAGTGCATTAGAAAACTCCCCTCTCCACTTTTTGGGGCCAAACAGGAGGACACAGCCTGGGAGGACACCGCTTTGGGAGGTGTGCATGGCTTAGCCTCAAGGATGACAGCGACACAGCCTAATTTAATGTCTGGCAAGAGCAGGCTGTGATATTGGTTCACGGGCCGTAAGGCAGACAAAGCTTTTCTCTTTGCTAACGATGCCTGAAGGCCACCACGCAACATCCACCTACAAGAGAGCCCTTGACCCAGCTCCCCAAATTTGACCCACAGCCCATTTCTCAGGCCTCATTGCCTTGATCTGCATTGGCACCGAGGACCCTTTTACGTCGCACTCATGCTGTGGAGCATCTTAAATGATGCATCAGCACAAACTGTAAAAGACAGCCTTAAATGTGAATAAAAACCATACTCCAGGCACCAGCACTGGCTCCATAAATTGGCAACATCGTTTGTGCTCACCAACAGACCAGAGGCAAAGCTCTGCCTTAACTTCACCGTAACATCGACGCGGGATCTGGCGTTAAAAGGCCATGTTCATGAGATGGCAAAAGCAGGACCGAGGCCATCAAAGTGACTTGCAGCCCTTGAGAGACACCAGGAAAAGTGAAGGTATGCAGACGTCACGCCTCGAGTCGGTTTGTTAGAAAGCAATCCACAATTTGTAAAGATAACCACAGATCTTTTTTATTTAAAAAAATGGAAGTAGAAAAGTTTTGCTGAAAATACCACCAACAAAAAAAAAAAATTAAAAAAATAGCACTCGCACGGGAAATGTTTCTGTTTTGAAAACTTTGTCAATAGCTACAGCAATTTTAAATCATAAAACAATCATCGTATAAAAACATATTTATTTAAATTAAATATTTTATGCAAACTCATATCTACACTCATTCAAAATGCATAGAGTCACACAAAAAAGATGGAATGTATTAGCTTAAAAACCTGTGAAGTTGTGGAGTTTTTTTTTAAGTATTATTTGCAATTATTATTAATACATGTTCGGGACTGAAACCAGAAAATCATAGCCATGCTACTAACTAATCATTACCAAGTGCCATATAGTAAACACTAAGATTAATCATGTCATATAACTGATGTAAAATAAAGCTTCATCTTTACGAAAAGGAAGAGAACTCGAGCAATACAAAATCCGAGGGGAGGAATAATGGAAGGAATAAATCAATGTACAGCTTTATTACAAGCAATAATATGCCGGAGTTAGAAGAGGCATCGGGCACTGCGGCTCGAAACGTGAAGCGTTCGCCTTCAAAGGATGTTTGATAAAAAAACCCAAAATGTGTCTGCTACATCATCACCTCTTTGCCAAAATGCTCACCCCAGGACCCGTTCCCAGCCCGGCGGGGAGGGCAGCTGAGGCCACCCCCATTTCGGGAGCGCTTTTGCTGGGAGGCCAAGGAGAAGGCATGGTGGGGTGGATGCTGGCCGGATCCTGCCTTCCCCAGCCCTGACCTTATCCCCCTCCGGAACGCACAGGCTGAGCGCCCTCGGGGCTGGCTGCCCCCCTGCAGCCCCCTCCCCCAGCAGCATTCCTGGTGTCCCAGCCCCTTTGGGGTTTCCCAAGGGGTGAAGCCCCCCAACTCATGGTTCAGGGGCAGGGGGATTGGGGAGGTTTAACCCCTGCCGGTGTGGTCGTGAAGGTCAGGGCGGTTGCAGCAGCGCCGACACCAGGAGCCGAGAGCGGCTTGCAGACCGCGTGCTACTTTACCAAAATCTTCCCTTTTCCTCCCATCCCTGCCTTTTCCCCTTCCAGGGGTTTTTGGTCCTGCCGGGAATTCAGCCCTGCCATTTGTGGGATGCTGCCACTCTCCTGACCCCAAAGCAGAGCTGGGGGTGCCCCAAAATGGGGGTCAGCCTTCCCATGCTCCCACGAGCATCTCTGCTTTGGAAGAGGGACTTGGCCTTGGGAAATTCCCCCCTCTCCGGCCCCGTTTGGAGCAGGGTACCCAAGGCTTTGCACCGGTGGTGAGCCAACGACCGAAATCCTTTACCTACGCCACCGAGGAGACTCCACGGCCCTCGCGGTTCAGA